AAGACAAAGAGAGAGAGAGAGAGAAAGCAAGAGAGAGGAGAGAATGACAAGAGAGAGACGAGAGAGAGGAGAGAGAGAGAGAGAGAGAAGAGAGGAGAGAGAGAGAGGAGGAGAGAGAGAGAGAGAGAGAGAGAGAGAGAGAGAGAGAGAGAGAGAGAGAGAGAGAGAGAGAGAGAGAGACTTACTGTCTTAAAAAGTCTTATATGCATACCCGCAAATAAACAAATGAAGTAAAAAAAAAAGCAAGGGTTACGCCTATTCTATGCACAGTTCCATCACTGCTTCTCCTAGTCTTCAGTGCATCCAAGCAATGCAAATGCCATCAATTTCACATTTTTTCATATACATAGTTCAGGTCAAAATAATATATATTTGTAAATAATTTAATTACACAAACATTTTGTCGAAAATCTAGGGGTTACTAACATCTACATGTTATAACAAAAGTATCGGTCAAACATACACATATATTATATAAATAGATGTGATTTAAAATAAAAGTAAAAGTACATCATGGATATTTGATAAAAACTGCCCACAACAGTGTAAAGACAAAACTGCCATACATCAACAGCCATGCTCAAACTTGGAGCAGTTTCATGCATACATCAGCCACACCAACATACAAATAAACACAGTCAATATTTTCTGAAGTGATACCCTTTATACTGACATGAAATTGATTTGACAGTTATATGAATAAGATGACTATATGTATACTGTTCTTGGAATCCACAAAGAAAGACTACATGGCACAATATTATGACAGTAGTGAACATTTTTGAAGCAAGTGACAGGAGCTTTGGACCCAAACCCAGTCTCACCCTCTAGTCCAGGGATCCCCAACCAATGCTCAAACCGTATTATGACACTTCCATGCAAGAAAGAAGCGCTAATTTTTCATATTCATGATGATAATCGCTGCAAAAGTCACAATTCCCTTTTACATTTCTCGAATATATATCTTAAATTTATTTGAATTAAATAGTAAATGCTAAATTCAAGTGATCTTCAGCTTAACTCTTCTACTTGTGACTATGTGACTATCACATTATGAAAAAATCTATCCACATGGTGGGTGAGGTTCATGCCATCACTGAAAATATTTGAAGTATTGATACATTTTGAAATATAAAAACAATCCATTTCTATGACAGTCACATACTGATTGGTCACAATCTCACACTTTGTAAATGCAAAGGTCATGATATCACAATCTGTATATACAAGGGTCATGGTGTTACATGTATATGCAAAGATACCTAATGCATGGTTACTTCACATGAAAGTTGTTTACTACAAGGTGAGTTCATGCTAGAATTTATTCATACCCCTTTTCTCCCTTCGTCTAAGGCTCCTTTTCCTCCTCCTCTTGATTTTCTATGATTATCAGTGACTATTCTAAACTTTGCAGCTCAGTTCAGCAACCATTTGACATCTGAGGCATGTGCATCCAAAGGTGTTCTCAGACCAATTGTGAGAAAATGCATTGCATTACAATGTTTCTTTTGTTCATACTTTAACCTGTGACATAGCCATTAATATGTTCACATTAATGCACTACCAATGCACATTATTTTAGAGCATTAATGTGGACATATTGATGCTTATGTTACAGATGAAAGTTTAACACCCTGTTGATGGGCACAGCTATAACTATCATGGAAAGCCTACCCTTCACGATGGGTATGTATACTCGCTCTAGCGAGTGAACAGGAAGGACCTGCTGTACACAGTGAACGGCCTGCCAGAAAGGCTTGACGGTTGCCAGTAGTTAACTGAATGAGTGCCACAGAAGATTCTGGCACCGTCCATGTAGGATTAAACTAACTAAATATTTAAGAATTGCATTTTCACACAATTGGTCATAGAATAATTTTGGACATGCACACCCTCATATCACCACTAAAAGAACATTTTCTGATATGTAAAATTTATTTCTCAATACTCTGAAGACTAAACATACCTTTCTTCTCTTCAATCTCTTTCTCCCCTTTTCTTACCGCAATGCAACCAAATCATCACACACTTGATGAAATTGACAAATGGTGAAGTTAAAACTGATTTTCTATGCTTCACTGTCACTATCTCATACTTTGTTGTTCTACTGCTAAGCAACTACTTGATAGTGGTGGTGGTAAGGGTGGGGGGAAATCTGGACTAAATTTACCACTTGTGAAATATGAAAATTTGGCGATTATTGCCACGTGGAGTCAAGACTGAATGAGACATTGGTCTTTCATGGTAAATATCTAGACATTTAAATCAGTTTCTCTGTATTCTATATCAATCATTATTTTAATGTCTTCTTGCTCTGACTCTATCACAAAAGTATACATTACCTACATATGCTGAGTTATATAAGCTGTGCCACAATGCCTTATATGATTTTGCTTGTTGTTTTCATTTGCTTAACCCACTAACACCGGTATATTTTGAAGCTGAAAATAATAGTTTCCGGGGGGCTTCAAAATTGGTGCACGGGCCTGGCCCTGAATCTGCTGGCTCGCGATGGAATTGGAGCACAAGCTCTAATCCAGCGTCACACCGGCGGGACGTCCGGCAATCTTTTCCCCACCAAGTGTCTCATGTGTGGGACACCTGTCGCAAATGGGTTAAGAAACCTACTGAGAATTTGCCCTAATCTCAAAGAAAATTCTACATACTTTCATTTATCTATTCATTTAAGAATTTGTTTACCCTTTCTTGAAAGCACAGAAGAGGAATAAGACCTTTATGACTACCCTTGGGTATGGCTTGGTAGTGCACAAGATGTAGGGAAAACTTTTGCTTTTGTAAAATTTGGATACAAGAAAAAAGGAATGGCAGGCTGCTGTCTAAATGCTTGCCAATAATCCTGACAATCTGTAAGTCAGCCCTTCTGGAATTACAATTTATGGTAAGAAATTATTCAAATTGGTACAAGGTCCTGATATTGGTCTGAGCTCTAACCTATCAGAACATATGAAGTAAAGAATTTTGAGATCCTGGAAGGAGGGGAGCCTCAAAGAATGGCTAAGACTCTTATATGCCGTGCATTTGCATCAGTGAACCATATTTGCCAAGAATTTATCCTGCCAGAATATTAGAGGTAAAAAAAAATTCAGATCAGGTAGGGGTAAAAGGGAGCAATAGCCCCCTGAAAGGAGGTTTAGCAGCTTAGCTCCCAAATTCTACAAAAGCTAAATGACTGAATGATTTAGACTACCTTAGTCTTCTACTTGTACCCTACAATCTCCATGGTACTTGTCATGCTCCCCCCAGCTATCAAAAGCCAGTATAGCAGAGAGATTGATACCAGATTAATTTGGAACATGAGAGGTATCAGAAATATTTAGTGCTCACCCAAAAACTGCTATTCAGTATCATTTCTAAATTTACCCAGCACAAGCACATGTTTCCTGCACCCCTAATCTTCCCCTTGACTGCCTGTGTGCATATCTGATGCTGCAGCAACACATTTATACAACTTCTCTAATGAATGTGGGAAAAACTAACTGAAGTAATATTAAAGGCAAAGTATTACAAATAAATGTATATATTATCTCTTTACTTCAAGAGAGGACATGTTTTACCACAGTTGATGGGATTGTTTTCTTATGAATGATACTACACAACTGAAACTGACAACTGAAAAATTATTTAAATGATAGATAGTTTAATGTAGCAACAGGTCATGGCACTGCTGATGCTATTGTGACCCGCCTAAAACAAGGTGAAATAGATTTATTTTTCTAAGGCATTTAGCAGTTCCATGTTGATTCAATAGTAATTCTTGGGTGACCCTGAGATGTGTCCCTAAGAGGATTCCTAATTTCATTCAAAACCCATTTAAACACCTTCACCCATTGAAGGACATCAATAGAATTTCTGTTTAAAAGCACAATATAACCTAAACTTCCTAACATGTTTATAAAATAAACATTTTATATTCCTTCCATGTGCAAACAAGCTTCATCAACAAACTGACTTCTGCATTTAGGCAAAATAAAATTACACATTTTCTCATATGTTTACAAAATACTAATTCAACAAACTTTACAATGTTTATAAATACAAGTGCTATGTTCAAACTTCCACAAAATTAGTTGAATTAATAATAGGTATCAAACAGACATCTGTCAAACCACAAATCCACTTCATCAACCTCAAAACAATGTAGCCTAACTCCTCTTCAACATCCTGGTTGCCAAGGGATCCCTTTACGCGAAAGTTCTGCCCCTATTTCCGTGAGCAGCTCCTGCAGGACGTCGCGCCTCGAAAGAGTTCCTTTCCAAGGCCGCGACCAGCTAAGTGCCAGCCTCAGCCCGCCCCTGAAGGCCCAGCATTACCTTGGTGTCACTGCCGAAGCCTCCTCTAAGGGGGGCTTGGCTTCCTCGCAGCGGCGGCGGACGTGAGGTTCAGCAACACACGTCAACACAAAAAGGACTCTCCTTTCCCACTCCTTTTTTCTGTTGCGCCGCGATCTATAGTCGTCGGCGAAAGCTTCGGGACGCGAAAGGCTTGCGGGACCACCAATGCACTGGGTAAAAAGACCTTCAAACAAACCCAAGCAGAACGATTAACCAAAGTGGTTCTGAACCTTC